GACAAGATCACTGCAGATCAAGGCCCAGTCAAAAGGGGCTTGACATCTCCAAGATGAAGCTCTTTATGGGTTGGTAAACGAGCAGCAACACATTTCACCTGTGGCAGCCAGGTAGTCCTGAGACACAGGAGAAAACCCACGAAGTGAGCCACTAGAGGTCAGTGACCGTAACACTCCTCAAGTTAGCTTGATTGTAGTCACACGTTAGCTTCAACTGCTATCCGGGTTGTTCGAGTTGTGCGCTTCAGCAGTTTGCTTCTTAGTCAATATTTCGGTAGAAAAGTAACTCCCTTTATGTGCTAACTCAGTAAGCTCGTTTATTTCTTGCTTAATATGGGAGTATTTTAACAAATTCTCAGGTTCTGTCGGGAGCCTTTCACTCACGCTGCCATCTTGTTGGTGTTCCGACCGGAAGTCAGGACCAACTTTTTTGTTGACATCAAATACTGTAATTTGCTGGATGAGTGATTGCACAGAAGACGTTTTGTGACCTAGAAGTTTCAAACATTCAGTGACATAAAACAAATCTAAGTATTGAATTAGACAAAGGCATCCTTCTTTTTTAATTGAGTAAGATCACTCTAATAAAATGCCAAACATAAATTTCCACAGTTTGAGCATGGAAAACACAGGAGATTGTTCCTCTTTGGCTGTTTCACTGGACAAAAACAGCAAGATTTTTTTATTCTGTTCAGGATGTATCTCATTTTGCTTTTGGCACCAGTCTTTTTACAGACTTTTTATTGGTCTGAAATGTGTGGAAATATTTGATTTACAGTTTAGACAGCAGCAGCTTTTATTTTACAGGGAACTGTAAGTTAAAACGCTGGTTATAAAAAAAATCATGACCAATAAGACATTTTTGCTGAAATCTGATATAAGAGCAAATTTACAGGCTGGGTCCTGCTAACGATGGTTCTTAACGAGCAGCTCAGGCATTTAAAGAGCAGACTCACTGACAGGTCAAGTGATGGAAAAAGAAAGGAGTGAATGAGGAATTGGACCTGTCCCCTCCTTGCCAAATCAACAGGGCCTTAATATAGAGGGTTGAACTTTGAAGTGCCCTAATGGTCTTCATGGTCCTGTGACCACGCAGACGTCTGTTAGGGGTGTCACTGGAGCCTGGCTGGAGCAACATGACCCATTAAGTTTAATGAGTGCTGCTCAGAGCACAGAGGGCTGCTCTTCTTCCTATCTGGTTCTGTTGGTTTACCATGGCTGCATTTGACACAATACAGAGCATGGGCAGGATGTCTTTTTAAGTAGGAGTCCTTTTTGACCTTTGTTTTGCTTTATTCTAAAATCAAAAACCAGAAAATACAAACAGGTTAGACTGTTAGATGTCTAAAAGGATGAGGTGAGAGAGGAGGCATTTCATGTCCCCAGAGCCAGCTTTTTTCAGCCAGGGTCACAGTTTTCAGCTAACACCCATGTTACTGATGTAAAATATTTATCCATCCATCCATCCATCCACCATCCATCCATCCATCCATCCATCATCTTCCGCTTTAACCGAAGTCGGGTCGCGGGGGGCAGCAGCTTGAGCAAGGAAGCCCAGACTTCTCTTTCCCCAGCCACCTCTTCCAACTCTTCTGGGAGGACTCCAAGGTGTTCCCAGGCCAGCCGAGAGACATAGTCTCTTCAGCGTGTTCTAGGTCTTCCTCGAGGTCTCCTCCCAGTCGGACATGCCTGAAGAACATCCCTAGGGAGGCGTCCAGGAGGCATACAAATGCCCAAACCACCTCAACTGGCTCCTCTTGATGTGGAGGAGCAGCGGCTCTACTCTGAGTCTCCCCTGGATAACTGTACATCTCACTCTATCTCTATAAGGGAGAGTCCAGCTACCTTCAGAAAACTCATTTTGATCGCTTGTATCCGATCTTGTTCATTTGGTCACTCCCCAAAGTTCGTGACCATAGTTGAGGGTAGGAACGTAGACTGGTCGGTAAACAGAGAGCTTTTCCTTGCAGCTCAGCTCCCTCTTCACCACAACAGATTTGTACAGAGTCTGCAAATCTGCGGAAGTAGATCCATCTATCAATCTCACGGTCCATTCTTCCCTCACTCGTGAACATGACCCCAAGATAGACAGGATAGATAGAAGACAGGCTGTGCCCTCCCATCCATTGACACATTGTATCACAAATGCATTACACAACGAGCAACAAAGATCATCTCAGAGCCCTCTCATCCTGCATTTCATCTGTTTACACTTATGCCTTCTGGAAAATGCTACAGGTCCTTATCAACAAAAACAGTTAGATTCAAATACATTTTTCCCAACTGCCGTACGGTCACTAAGTCAGATCACTAATTAATATCCTTTAGTGCACCCTTTGCTTATTTGTATTGTCTGTTCTGGCACAGAGATGTGAGCATGTCATGCTGTACCGGAAGCAAATTCCACCAACTTGTTGTGTGGTCATTAATAAATGAATCTGAATCTGATACTTGAAGATACAAAAATATCAAATATTAACATACTTGTTTTGATATTTTCTAACAATTTAATTTGTCTGTCCCAAATAAATCCTCAGAAGGATAGATTCAAAGTGTTTTGCTAAAGTTTTATTAAAGTTAGTGTTGGTTTTACTTTACTTACTTTACTCTGATTATATAGAGGAAAATGATCAAATCTGTCAAAGTGAGACTGGGGAAAATCTAGATCTTTAAAACATAAAAAATACACAATTCAGACCTATTTTGAACTTCATTTATTTCAATCTCAGCTGATAACCATCAATAAAATGTTCATTTTGTACAAAGTCCAGCACCTGAGGACATCTCTGTGATGCCGGTCATGAGACTAAATATGGACGGGTTCAGGAAACAGATTCTGACAACTGGGACAAAAAATAAGAGACAACTGTCACAAGAAACATCAAAAAACTTTCCCAGTGCAACAACGTTTTGCTTTATTTGGCACCATCAGAAGTAAAAAAAAAAAGGTTAATTAAGTAAAAGCTGTTTAAAGCCATGAAAAGAAGCTATTATTTTATTTGTAAAAGTTCTTTTAGAATAGCAAACAACACTTGATGGCATTACTGTAATACTTCAGTTTATCTCTGGGAGTCCATTATTTGACAAAGAAGCAAACCTTATATACAAGCAAAAGAACAACATTTTCAAAATTTATATTCACACAATGACAATATAAACTTGGATTTTAATTGATTAATTTCAGTAGTATCAACATAGACGGAGCTGCAGAGGAGAGGAGCACTGAGGAAGGATGAAATTCACTCAGTGTGACAAACTGGAAATTCAGTCACAAGCAGAGTCAGTATCCTGTTTTATCTTCAGTTTTATGGTAATGAACTGGATGTGAAGTCTTCAAGATGCTTTTTTTTTTCTTTTCCTTTCATTTGCTGACATTTGTTTGAGTTCAGCCAGTAAAGAGAGTGTGTGTAGAAAACATAAACAGTATAAGTGTCAATCATCATGTCATCACATCCTGTTGCTTAAATCAAATGAAAGCCTCAACTGTGAACATTATGACTGAGCCTGGCTGTCTGACTGTGGGAACTGTTGAAGCTAAAAACCTGCCAGAGTGGCTCAACAGAAAACCAGTCAGCAGCTCTGTTTAGTAAGACCTGTTCACTTTAAACTTTCATCAAAAGAAAAAAAAAACATTTTTTATCTCATTAAAAGAAGCTGAATGTCTTCGGATTTTAAGAAATGTCACATTTAAATATACATGTTGTGTTTTTTTTTTCAAACTTGTTTAAAAATGCAACAAAAAATTAAAATTAGGTGATAAAGGCTTTCACCCCCTCCCAGACATGTTGCAAAATTGCACTATGAGAGATTAATAATGTCATATTCAGTTTTGGAATGTTAAACAAGGTCAGTTTAGACACAAAAAAATATGAATTACACTGGCAAAACATACTGCCACATATTTAACCATTTGTGACCCATCACATCAAAATGAGGATTAAGTCCAAAAGTTGTATATGGAGAAATAGGCAAATAATAGTGTTTTGACTAAAATGCAAACAAAAAATGCCTTTTGTCAAAATATAAATGCCTTATTAATGTATCATTTAAATGAACTGTCTGAAATTAAATCATGAAACACAATTTTGAAGCACTTTATTGAGCAGTAGCAACAAAAAAACTGATTTTGAGGAAAAACGCCTTAAAATTTTGAGATTCTCCCTGTGAGTTAGCAAAATTGTGTTTCTTTTTAGCTGGGAAATCTCATTATTCAAATATAATTTGAAGTTTCCTCTTTATAAGGACATCAAAAATTCCTCAATAAAATGACATAAAATTAGGATTCAGACCAAACATTTATGTATTATTGTAACCAACAAGACAAATTAAGTCATACATATGGATTTAATTAAGATATCAGAATGATCCAGGTGTCAAAATGTAGCTTTTAAAGCCCATAATCTGAAATTATAATTAGGTCATTTTGACCAAGTTTGACTTAATCCTCATTTCAACATGATGGGTCACATTTTTGGTGTGTTAAAACAGTTTTTACTGGCTCAAAGACCCCTGTAAGGATGTATTTGGAACCATTATGTTTGACTATCAGTCACTGTCAAAACAGTGTTGTGATTCTTTGTTCAAAATATTTTTACAAACACACCATCCATAATGTCTAGTTTGATGTACAGGATGAGTCAAAAGTCATAGAACACTTGTTTTGTTTCAGAAAGAAAAGGGAAAATGTCACGTTTGAATACACCAGCAAGAATTTTTTTATTTAACCTTTATTTAACTTGGCAGAATTGAGGACAGAATCAGTCCAATTTCAAAGTGTTAAAGTGATGTTAGCAGCATCAGTGCTAACATGGGCTAATGTTCAAAACAGTAACAAACTTTCATAGCAATGCTCACCATTCCAACTCCTGACTCACTAAAGGGAACTGTCTGGGTGAGAGGCTCTTACACCCACGCGAGGGCTGTGACACAGGCATGAACCAAGGTCTTCCACTATAACCAATAGGAGAATTATACAGCAATTAAAAATGTCCCAATTTGCACAGAAACATAAATATCCTACCCTTAAGACTCAATTTAGGCAGTTTATCTGAAAAAAAAAGTTTAGATACTCTAAAGCTATGTCCAAAACATGGCCGCCATCTTGAAAGCTGCCACACTAAATCAAGGACAAGTTTTTCCAAAAATACCCCCGCCCCACCTATGACTTACTGAGGTAATTGGAAATGTCATTTTCCTTTTATGTGAAATATAAGGGTGTCCTGTAACTTTTGACTCACACTGTTTAATAATTTGTTGTGTCTTCTTGTTCTTTCTTAACAAATATAAAGCATCACAACTGGAGGTCTGGCGAAAACTTGACTGTGTTTATGTACAAGGAAAGGCACGTATCAGGTTTTAGAAGGAGAGTTTGGTGCTGCAAAGCAATATTTTCAGTTTGCAACTTTGAATTAAGGGTTAAATAGGTGAAGCTAAGGAAAGGGATAAAAAGGATTCAGCTATATCAGCCAAAACACTAATGAAACCTGTGTTTTGTTTCCAAGTTGGAGATCAGCTGGTGACAGTACAGCTCTGCAGGCATGCCTCACTTTAGACGACCATTACAGAAGGCCTACTGATTCAGCCTGCACTCTGTGGCAGATTTTAAGAACAAGACAAATATCCAATGCTCGCTTTTCACCAAAAACAACAACGAATCAAGCATCTGAGCGTGCCTTCTCACCATGCCGGCTGTGTTATTTAGTGTGATGAAGGACACGACATCTCACATTGATGCTAATTAAGTTTGTCTCTTCCTGCTGCTTGCTGATTGAAGCTGGCACGGTGAGCTGGTGTTAAAGGTTGCCGCTGCGTTTTGCAGCATCATGTCTGCCAGTCGAGACCCCGTTTCCTGTAATCTGAACCCTGAGTCGAGCGGGGGAAACCTGCATATGCAGGCCTGGGAGGGGGAAATGACAAGATGCTTTAAAAATTACAGCCTGCCTGCCTGCCTGCCTGCTACCCTGACTAAACTGACACACCATATCTGTTTGTGCTTGATTAGCTTCATGCTGTTTTTTTTTTTTTTTTTTTCCACGGAGACGTAAACTAGCCTGAACAGGTCGGGACGAAAATTATTGCTTTCTGTCACAGATGTAGTTTGCAATAGAAAGTGACAGAAAATAAACTCTAAGCTCTTTTCGAGCATCTGGGATTGCTCACAGTGAGTGGACGTGATGTTAGACAGCTTACAAAATGCAAAGTTTGTTTAAAAGTGCACCTAAACTAATTTATGCAGTATGAGGGAAAGACTGAATGTGTCGGAACAGATAAAATAAAAATGTGAAAAAGGAGACAAACGATGTGAATCTGTCGTGATGTGTTTGATACACAACAGCAGAAGTTATGTATTCTGTTATGATTGCTGTTTAAACCATACTTGTTTGCTCTTGTTTTTCCAAACTTCTCACCAGTTCAGGGACAGCTAGATTTATGGGGTGTGTAAACTCAATAATTCAGTGAGGCCTGAAACATTAAGGAAAGAGGAAAGAAGCAACATCTCTGCATTTTTTTTCAACATCGGCTGACTCTGATTGTCACATTTGCCTTGTGTTGGCTGCTCTATCAGGCTCTCTTATCTCCACAGTCTGTTCATGTGACCTGCATTATCATTAGTGCTTTCAGACCCCAACACCCCCACACCCCCACTTCCTATCCCCTCCACCCCTCAGTGCTTGCTGATGGCTGTTGGCCATACGGAGGCAGGGAGGAACCTGCGACAGGACATCATGTAGCCCAGGAGATGGCTGCGCTGTGTTCCTTGGCCTTCATCCGTAGCGCAGCTATGCTGGAGGACTTGCGGTCTGGATCCATGTTGAGGTCATAACCATTGATCCCCCCGCCGATCCCAGCGCCTCCAAACAGGCTGCCCATGTGTGTCTGTCCCATGTGGCTGCTCCCTGGACTGGGCACGCCCAGGAAGTCAGAGACCCCGCCAGGGCCGTGAGGATGAGGGGGCATGCAGGAGGGAACCGGATCGCACGGCACAACGCAGCCTGGCACTGGAGAGGCTCCACTGCTGCTCCCAATCCACGAGGGGTTCTGGATCTGGAGAAGAACATCAGATGGTTCAGATCTTATAAAGCAGGGATTAATATAAGCAATTATTATCTTACCTGCTGTTAATAGAGCTTTTGTAGAAATATTATTCTTATTCTTCAGACCAGAGATAACAAATGAGCTGAGACCATGGGTTACTGTCATCTTAAAACAACTTCACTCTCTGCAAATGCTACATTTTAAACCTTCACATCATTTTACATTACATTCCTGCTGGAGATGCTGACTCTGAAGTGCAGCAGTTTAGCTTCTCCTGCCAATAATGTTCATGTAAAATACATGAGTGGAAAGTAACAAATTAATTTACTTGGTTTAAGTATGAATTTTGTGTGCTTTGTACATTTTTGAGTGATTTTTCCAAAATGTACTTTCACTTGAGTAAGTTTTATTTCAAGTATTTTACTTAGTTACATTTGAAATCCCATCCGGTACTGAGTAAAAAATCTGAATGTAAATATTAAATGAATTAACGGGAATTAAAATCTGGAGAAGAAAAAAAAAAGCACTGTCAGCCAGCAGCTTTTGGCTCTGTTCCTCACCAGTCAGTCGCTGTGTGATCCGGCTAGAAGTGAACTTTCTTTCTAAATGACAACGATTATGGTTAAACTCCGCCCAGTTGACCCACCGCTTCTGCTGGAGTAGAGTGAAGCTCAGCGAGAGGCCATGTCTCGGCTCCTCACCTCTGTTAACTAGCAGTTAATTAAACCTTCCACCATTCAAGATGAGTTAAAAATAAAGACATGAACACCTGGAACACCTGGACGTGTTTAAGAGACTCTGGCTTCAAGTTGCTGTTAGTTGCAGCTTTTCTCCCTGCACAGCCTCACCTGTTTAAAACATGCTGTATCAAATGTTTTGTATGTAAAAAAACAGCTTTTACTTAAAGTATTTTTTTACTGATTTACTTTTTACTTTTATTTGAGTGGATTTACACAGGTACTTTTACTTGTACTTGAGTCAAATTTCAACTGAGTTACTTTACTTTTACTTGAGTAGATTATTTTAGTACTTTTTCCACCGCTGGTAAAATGAAATTGACTGCAATGAAAATAGTGTTTACATTAACTCTATGACATTTTTGATATTGAAGTCATTTTGACACAGCAGTAGTTTGGTCCTGGTCCTGACCAGACTGGCTGTTAGCTCATCAGTTTGAATAAAAAAAATAAAGGTTTTTTTTTTCCCGAATTGAGATTTCTCAAAAAGCTTTCTACAACAGGTAAGACAACAACTGCAATTAGTATTTCCAGAGACATCAGTTTCATAATGTTTGAACTGGTACTTTAAGTGTCAATAAATGAATTTAAAATATCAGACAAAAATAAAGGATTTGTGCAAAAAATGACAGATAAACCTACACAAACATGTCAATTATCACTCATCTGGCTTTAAAACATGACACTAAATCAATAATATGGTTGTTTGTAACTAATGGATTCACAAATCAGCACCTTTTAAAAAAGGTGAAAAAATGCTTTTGATGTTCAGTTTTTGCAGGTTTAATAATTTACATTACAAGTGTCTTTGATGGGCAATGAGTGAAAGGCCACTTATTTGCTTTACCTGAGCGTAATTTTCAGGTCGGGTGAGAAGAGGCAGCTCATACGCAGTGGAGAAATGTGTGCGGACTTGTTGCATTTGACCGAAACGCTCTCTCTTCCTCCACTTGGCTCTGCGATTCTGGAACCACACCTGAGAGGAAAACAGTCCATCAGGAGAAGTCATATTTCTGTCAAACTCTTACATTGTAAGCAACACAAAGTGCTTTGTGTAGAAAAAATAGATAAATAGATAAATAAACGGGTCATCTTCTTTAGTAAGAAAGTCAATGTAAGAAACTAAAGCCCATAAAAATTGAGTGAAGCGAATTAATTCTGCCACACATAAAACCATCCAGGCCCTGTAGTTTCAGGACTTGACGTTGCTTTAAAGTGTCGTCCACAGTGAGCTATTGATGTGAAAGTGATGAGACTCCCTTGGTGCTGAATGTTTCAGCTCCACCCTTTGATACTCAGGCATCTGCCTCCCTTCACACTGCCAGTGTCGACAGATCCACATCTGGGCCTGCAGCTGCTCATAAATCACTCTCAGAGAGGTGTGCTCCCCCCCCCACACACACACGCCAGCACAGCGGGATACAGGAGGGAATCCCTGAAACAAGTGCCGAACCTCTGACCAACATGACAGGTGAGTATTGACAAACATGGTTTTAACCCTGGGTTTACTAAGAATCGTTTGCAGAGCTTTTGGCAGGTTTGTTGTCGGCCATCAGTGGAGTGGAAAAACAGGCAGCCTTTTAGAGTTTGTGGGTTCAGTAACCTGCTGACAGATCAAGTGCAGACTCCCCGCTACACTTCTGCTTTAATCCATGAAAGCATGGCTGAAGGCAGGATGGGAGCTATGAGTAATGTGCTCTCTGCAAAAATTAAAAGGTGATGTCCTGAAAGGGGGGCGTTGTGATACACAAAAACCCAGGATTATCTGTGTTATCATTTCTGTCTACCAAATCATAATTATTTTCTAAATTCTAATAACATTTTTATTGATATTATTTCTATCTACAGCCAAAGTGTGTGTAAGTAAAAATTAGGCATCTTAATTCTGTACTATAAATAAATTAACTGACTGAATGCTATGCCCTTCTTCCTGTTTGATACAATGAATTTGAAACATGGTGTTTGGGCATCTAAGCTGTCTTTACATTTAAAAAGATAAATCTGCACACAGCGCTGAGAAAAACAAAATGCTGCCTCTAAATTTATTCATTAATCAGAGGCTTTCTACTGTAATTCTACACAACATTCATATTTAAATGTCCAAAATTTAAAAATGCTGATTTTTTTCTGTCCCTTACAAAATATTATCCTGAACAAATTAGTGAATTTTCAAATAATTGATAATTGGTGAATGCATTGGCTGCAACCCAAGCAATGCACTTTTAGAATGATCAGTTCCTTTATCACTTCCACCTCCAAAACCAAAATTATGATAATGTAAGGCTTCTAAACGGTACACCACAAACCAATGGTTGACAGATGGGGTGAAAGAAAAACTGGCAGAGCAGAATCCAAAGAGACCATAAAAAGAGACCTTTGACTCCAAAAGAGACATTTTCTTCCACTGTCCAAGTATGTTGCAGGTTCCTGTTATTTCTGTTTTTAGTCTCTGTATGATAATTTTAGCTGAAAAAACTGGTAAGGGTTTGTGGTGGTGAAAAAAGAGATTTAGTTTAAAAAAATTAAAGTTTGGATGAACTAACCCATTCTCACTCCCAAGTCGTCACATATTGACGCTTTTCCAAGGTTCCCTCTATGTCCGATTTTGACGCACTGGGTACCCCCCTCACGTCAGTTACTGACGAGATGGGGCGAAATCTGTTGTCATATTTTCAGAAAGTGTAGAAAATGCGCAAAAACTACCGTTTCGAAGCCTGAAATTACCTTTGTTCACTTTAGACATCCTGTCCCTGACCCTAGTACCTAAAATTAACCATTTTTAGAAAATGTAGGAAATTCACGTCAACATGTTCCAAAGCCTGAAATTACCTAATATTCACCATGGACATCCTACCCCTGATCCCAGTACCTAAACTTAACCATTAATCCTGATCCCTCATGTTAACCTCAGACCCCCGACCCAAAGACCCATGGTGGCGCAACCCGGAAAAGCCGCGGGCGTCAAGGACTGACGTGACGGGGGTACCCGGCGCGTCAAAATCGGACGTAGAGGGAACCTTGGAAAAGCGTCAATATGTGACGAGTCGGGAGTGAGAATGTGTAGACATTACCGATTACAAGTTTTGTTCACTTTTGATTTTATTTTGTGTTTATAATGCAACCAAGATAAGTCCTATTTAGATTTGGTGCTCTTTTTTTTAACCAAGACTTTGGGTAAAGAATGAGACATAATTAATGTAATTAATGTGCACAAAGATTTCTTACAGGTACTTGTGTTGTTATCTACAATGAAACTTTACATTCAGTAAGAGGAGGAGAAACTTATAACTCAGTGTGTTACCAGAACACAACATGAACAGATGACAAGCCTCCACACTGTATCTAATGGTCTGTGAGGCCTTTATGAAAGGTTTTTCATGATGGAGTTTTTTTTTACAATAATCTGGGTTTGGTGTTGATGTTAACTAAATTTTTATGTTTTATATTTTGTGAGCCTGATGGTAATTTGTTAACCCTTGTGTTTTTTTCCCTGTACATCTGGTCTGCTGGTCTACACAGCTCATTCTGTCATTTTAGTATTTTTATGGTCTCAGGTCTTCAGTTGCTTCATGACATCAATGACATAATACAGAAAATAATTCCTGCCACTGCATTGTTGACAGTCTTTAAAGTTCCTCAAAGTGATACTTGAGTAAAAGTACAAGTAATTTATCAGTATTAAAAGTAAAAGTATAGAGTAAAAGTGAGTGGTTAGATTTTCAAAAATTACTTTTTTTTGGAGGTGACCTCCCCAAAAAACTTTTTTCTAACGACCATAATGAATATAATGTTATTTTAAAATGTTAATGCTGAAATTGTGAGGATACACTAGCCTGCCTGTTTCAGCTGCATATATCTCTGCATCGGTCATCTTCATACAAGCCTACATATGTCTGATACGTTTTGCTGGAGTGAGACATTTGTGTCATTTACAGTTCTGATGGACCGTACAACCCAAAGTGTGTGTGGATGATTTACATTTAAACTTCTCATCCAGCCACAAAAATTCAATCCAAGTGGAAAATTACGACATATCTGGATTTTTTTTAAACAATAACAAGCCAGAATGAAAACAAGCCAACATGAAATTGAAGTAATGACATACTAATCCTCACATTCACATCAAATGTAAGAACTAAAAAGTACAGATAACTGTATGAAAATGTAAGGAGTAGAAGTAAACAATTAGATAAAATAATTACTCAATTAAAGTAAAGACAACAAAAAATTCTCCTATAGTAAAGTAACAGAGTACTTGCACTTAGTTACTTTACACCTCTGGTTGTTCAGATATTTCCTGTACAGAAACAGCAAGTAATGACAAAGAGGAACACCTGCATATAAAGAGAGCATTGCTAGAATGGCTAACAACATGGACAATAGTAAATAATCAGATGTTTCTTTAGACTGTTTGGAGTCACTATCAGAAAATGACAAAGAAGATTCAGAATTTCCTGTTTCACTTTGGCCGTGCCAGGTAAAAAGAAATGACCAGTTCTGAGACAAAATGGGTAAAATCACATGTAATGTGCCAAATCTTTCAACAATGAGATGTTTTCTTCCACTTTTTTGTATTTGTAGAACATGCATATCACAGACAATGTGACTATGCACCCAATGTTCATGTTCTATAAGGTTCCTTAAATGCCGTCCAGTTTTCATGAGAACTGTAGCTAACATAACAAACATGTATGCAAAGACACAAGCGAAAACATGCTCAGCAGCCTTTTGTTTCCATTGATGTGTGATAGAAAAGTTCCAAATGACTGATTTAGTCTAATGCAACATTTATTGGATGGGTCAGTCAAACAAGTTAGTTGAAAGCAACACATTAAGAAGTACAATATTTTCTACTATATGGCACAATTTTAAATAACTAAAAAAATACAACAAACATTTTTTTCCTAGAGAAATTTCTCTCTTCTCATTGGAAGAGTAGAGAAGAATAAAGTGGATGATGGGAGTCTCTGCATGTTTATTTGTTTCTTCTGCATTTATTTGTTGGTTGTCTGAATCTTCTCCCAAGAGAGAAAAACTTCTTCAAAGAAACGAAAGAGACTAAGCCCACTTCAACATGGGGCCTTGAACTCAGATTGTGGGTTGATTCCCAGCCCAATCAGCTTGTGGTTTTTACAATCCCTGACATGCAGTTTCCCCACAGTCACTCTCTTGATTTGCCATCCCACCAACCTCAATTTCTCTCACTGTCATCACTTCTCTTAGATCAGATGTGCACAATAAGATTCAGAATTTAGCTGTGTTACAAAAACATGTAGGATAATGATTTATTCTGGTATTCAAATGTTTTTTTTCTAATGAGGAAAAACTAAAATATAACAGACATTTCTTTATCCTCTTATTTTCTTGTTCATCATAGAGCATCTTGTTTATTAGAAGCTGACGTAAAGAGATGTCTGACTCAAACATTCCTCGGTCAGCTGGTGAGATTAAAGGACAGTTTCCTCTCTCAAAGGTGTAAGCTGATATCTGAGGTTATTGCTAAACCCCAAGGTCAAGGTGAAGGGTTGCTGCTCTTTGAATTATATCATATGTTTGGAGTGGGGCTCTGGGTCTATGTTCTCCACCCCCTCTGAGGATTTAGGGGTCTGTTATTGCTAAAGTTTTTCATGTCTTTCTTTTGGTGGAACTTGAGTTACATGAGCTCATTACCTTACAGCTCTCCAAATATAAAGCACACACTAAAGGGCCCTGACTGGATTTATAGATCACGTTCTGTTGCATTTATATTTAAGCACATGCTACATTGCTAACAATGTCAACAATTTCAATCGAAAGAGTTCATTGTAATTCAAGCACATCTACTTTATGAACCTTTACAACAACGTCAGTTGTGCAGTACAAAGATAAGGGCCAAACACACAGGCAGCAGGAAGCATATTGATTGTCTGCATCTTCTGCCGCTAAGCCGTAGTCAGGTTGCAGAGGCAACTGGTCCAGGAGAGAAACCCAAACATC